TGGCGTCGCAATTTTTTTAATACTGTAATTTTTTTAAAAAGCTGTAATTTTTAAACAGGATGGCGGATTACAGTTTGATTACATGTACAAACATCTCTAATATTTACAAAGCTACGAAGAAATATTAAAATTTCTTTGTTGCTGACAAATTACATATTTATTTATGTAACTTATGTTTGCTGTATAAAAAGTTTTTGCCATGTGAAACAGGTTTTGGCTTTTTAACTTTTTAAATGTATTGCAAAATTTTTGTTTCTTCCCCCGAAACTGTATTCTCGCGGATTATTTTGCCTCACATGCCTCGCATACATTTTTAGTGTTCTTCCTATTCGAGTCCAGATTTCCTCTTATTTCTTAACGTCCTTATTTTGACAACAATTTTTGCAGGGAACGTCAAGGAACTAACAGCGATGTAACGAAAGAGGTTGGCTTGAAAATGTGTGAAGCTTTTGAATATTTTGATAAGGTAGGTCGCGTCGACAGAACATGCTATTGGCATTGACTTTCATAATCTGTGATCATGACCGTGTTTAGTAGATATATAACACGACTTAGCCGTCTATCTAATATAAAAATGTGCTCGACTTCATTTCACAGAGTAGTAGTTGTCGAATCGAAATATTTTGTATTTTGTTCTGGCTCTTACTTGGAATCTTTTGATATTCCTGTAATGTAGTTCTTGTTTTAACTTCAGGAAGATTACGCAAAGTCTACTGAGTTGCTGGCTCCATTAAAATACAAGTTTGTAAAAGTTGGTGGAAGCAACGCTCAAGTAAGTTTTACGACAGGGAATATACAGGGAGCAAATCCGAAATTCAATTAAGAACTTTAAGTAAATTTCTGGAGTGACTTGAAAGAAAGTTTTAAATACCTTCGGTTAAATGGATGGAGAAGTAATATGTTTTGTAACAAAGCAACGTTGCCTACAATGCAACCGTTATTAACATAATTTTATGCTAAAATGCAATGAATATGACCATAAATTGAGGCTGTGATATTTCATTCCGACTTTTAATTTTCTGATCGAGGGTGCAGAAAGTTTGTTGATTTTACCTGGATGTTACACACATCCCATAGACTCCCCTGTATATAATATCCACTTTTGGCGTTTACTAGCCTTCTCCGCAGGCATCTCACCCGACGAATCGGGTGGTGGGAAAAAGTTTGGTGAGATGCCTGCCATAAATCGACACAAAAATTTGCACTGCGCATACCGGCTCGCGCATGCAAATTTCGACAAACTCAAACTTAGGGGGAGTAGGAAGGGCTTACGGCAAGGAGTGAAGAAAATTTTGTTTTCAACACGATGGCTTACAAGACGAGTAAAACTGTAAAATTAACGAATAATCCTGGTCTTCAACATTGCAAATACAAAGGGAACTTTGACTAAGGAGCTGAGAACGTTATCGAGAGCCGACGCAGCGATTTACTGGGATTGTTTAGAGACAACGAGTGACTTTGCAGAGCAGTGAATTCACGTTGTCGTCGATTCATGTCAAGACATTTATCAAGACAAGGTTTCAATTGAAAGTTTATCGTTGATATATACAAATTTCTATTCAAATTGTTGACGACATTTTATATCATAATAAGCTGAAAGTGCAGTGATTTAGTCGAAATTATAACACGAAAAGGAACGATCGAAAATTGTCAATATATAAATGTAAATTCAACTGTTGACATCTGTGCCTGCGTATTAAATATATAAACACCTCTTGCCTTGTTTTATAAATAGTACGCTTGTATGGAAGGAAATCTTTAATAGAAGTCTCAAACAAATAGCTTTCTTATTGTGGAATACACTGTGCAATTTATTCCTTGGTCGCAATGGGCAAAGACAAAGTTTACAAACTTGAGTGTTTCAGATGTGGCGAAAATTAGCAAAAGCTTTCTTAAATCAGTGGCTCCGTTTTATATATGGGTGTGAGTTATGTAGACATAAGGGAAAGGACAACTGGAATTTAATAAGAATCTAATAGTTTTCCATATGGTGCAACAGGGTATAAAGACCTGTCTTAATAACATTTGCCTTGGATTTGTTAATTAACCATTGGAGACATTACATACATTCCATTTTGCTTGCCAAAGTTCACAGACAAAATATTTACATGGTAAAATCCATTTTGCAAGGCAAATTTCCCTATAACCATACAAACAGTCACTGACGAAACTTCCCAGTGATAGACGTGTTTTCAGGGATGGATCCAGCATGATCTGGTAGGGGGGTGCTCTGCCAGCTCTGGTGTCGAGTGACTCGAGTTGTGTCGTCATGTGTGCAGCCCGCCATTAATATACAGCAACAGCAGTATTTTGACAATTTGGCAAAACAACCTCCATGTGGTACAAGTGTACTGTGTACAATATCTCATTTTGTCTCTAATATTTTTTGCTTTATCATGAAAAATAGCACACACACACACCCTGGCCAGGGCTAGGGAGGGGGGTGTGCACCCTCCCCCCCCCCAGTAAATGCATCCCTGCATGTTTTGCTATTAATTGTTACATTACAACCACCCAGAAGTCTTTCAATGGTGGGTATATATTAATTGTAAGCTGTGAAACTTTAGATAAACCCATTGTCTGCACTCTCCCCCTGAATAGTAAAATTGTCTGATGTTAGACAGAGTAAAAGCAGGGGCGTGCCGACAATGGATGAAACAACAAGAACTTGTTGTGGGCCCCTGGCATTGTAGGCTCTTACATGATACATGCCGATCTAGATATATTATATTTAAAACAAACATATGTTAAGAGCAATTTTATTTAAACATGAACAAGGGAGATACATATAATTAGAGAATATACAGATACATCATAAATTTCTTTATTTATCAAATCATGGATGTCATGTGGCCAGTACGTGTAACACAACTAGGCATATACTATATTAGAAAGAGGTTGTACATGTGTCACAATGCAACTTAATGCGTTTAGCATGTTCACATGATATTAATTAAGCCCTTATTAAGGGGGTGGGTTCGAGTTAACTATTCAACCAAGTGAAGCCTGGTTTATATATACCTGCTGTTTGTTGATGCGCTATTGTTGTTAAAAGTTCAACTAAATAATTCACAAAAGAATGTATGCATCAACAGCTGTAAACAATGATAATGCAGGCATATGTAAACCAGGCTTAAGATGCCAACAAAATCTTGATTTTTGTAGTAATCATATTTCTGTAGTTGATATTTCCAAGTTGTTATCTCTCCTCACTTATTGAAATGGTTGCTTCAACAGAAAGATCTTTTCCTTTTATATATCAATTCACTTAACATGTTGCCAAATGTCTGATGATTTGACTAAAATTAGTAAAATATAATCAAAATGTCAACCCCTTCATATAAATAAACATGCCAAAATAATATTCCAGAAAACAATACAATTTAATATAATCCCTTTATTAAACAATTATACCTTTCGTATCGTTCCATTCTTCGTTTTGCGTTCGAAATTATGCCAGATAATTTCTTCAAATTGTAGTTCCTCGGCTGAACAATTGATACATTGTAAACATTTGGCTGATTCGAGCGAGCGATTCAATTAAATTTGAACGTCGTTTTTAGACCGCGAGAGACATTGTGATATATAATCCTTTCAATTGACCAACTAATTTTAGTATAACTTGGATATTTCGATGCATTATAAAACATTTTGTAAAGTTAATACTCGCAAGCTTCGCTCCACGCCTGAAGATTTCAAACTGAATATATAATTAGGGTCAAAAACCTACTTAGGGGGTGGGGTACATTGACACGGCCACAAGGTACATTGACACGTCCATTTTGTTCGATTTATGGCAGGCCGCTCTCCCAGAAAATTTTTTTCAAAACCCATTCGCAGGCTAGAACCCATAGAGAGGCCTGCGGAGGAGGCTAGGCGTTTACTATCTTCAAATATTTTATTCACTACTATTATTATAATTAATATTTAATAACAGCGGAAAAGTAACAATTTCAATAATTTCGCCCTTCTAGAGAGACGTGTTTCATCTACTGCTTATTCACTCTGCCATGCGCTCGCCTCTTAAATCACATCAGTGTCTTGCAAGGTAAGGTCATATCAAACAGAGCTTCCCAACCGTTGGGTGCATGCATTTTTTCAAACAGATTCCTTTACATAATTATGTGGTGGTTAACGAGGGAAATACGAGACTCTTAATAATCAGATAAATACGGGTGGTATGAGACTGCATGCGCGGCTACCGATTTGGTTAATTGTCACTTAGTTTAAGTAAATGAATGAAATCCGGACGAAATTGCATTTGTACCAGTGTACTGGGCGATCACGTACGTCAAACCAAAAATTTAAGATCCCCTTGCATAGGAGAACTATCATCATTACCATTTTTTGTCGTTGTCATAGACGGTGTCTAGAATCGTGGCTATATCAATATAAATAATCGTGCATTAAGCTTTGGAAAGGATATAACCCTATCAATATACGATAGCAACTCCGCCTTGTCCTGTGATGACGTCATCCATTGGTATGCAAGCAGCTTGCACGTTGCGACTTTAGATCTTCATACATGGCCATAACTGGAGAGTCGCAACGTTGGGTTTTGAATGTAATTTCTTCGGCAATCGCATTCATATACTTAAATAAACCTGATAAACTTAGCAAATGAATTTGGAATGGACACTTTTATTTATTTATTTATTTATTGTGCTTCGCTTCCAAACATTATACAATAATTGCATTAAAGAAGCTGGGACACTACAACAGCTTAACACCAATTACAGTGGGCCCTTTAGGGGTTGACAAAAGCTAAGAGCGATAGCCCTTCCAATATATCCCAAACGATTGCTGACTATAGCTATAAGGGCGCTTTCCATTCACATGACCAAATTGGCCAAATTGTTACAGTGCGTCTACAGTAAGTGGGGCCACTTAGAGAATACTAACCAATCACATTGCTAAACAAAAATAGAAAAAAATCAACAAACGGCGCATTAGAGAATCAGCATTAGGTAAAAAACAATTTCAACAAATAAACAAATGTTAAACTGTAAAAATATATCTTAAAAGTAAACACAGCAGTTACTGGCTTCCTGAAGCGAACTCCATGCTTTCTTTTGATTGTACGAGCTTTAGTTTGATTAGGTTTCTATTTTTGTCCTGCAATCTGATTCGTTAGTGCTCTCTAAGTAGCCCCACTAACTGTAGACGCACTGTAAAAGGAAAACAAAACTTTTCGATTCCTTCGTTTCTGACTGTATATTTGGATCAGCTCAGGAGCATGTCCACTTATAACCCAAATAGTGTATTATAGTTAGGTGTGACATGTACTGATTCCTTCTAAATTATTTCCTTTCAGAAGTTTGTTGGCTGAAAGAAAAGCCAAGAAAGAAAATTCGCCGATGACCGACAGACTAATGCTGAAAGCCGTAGCAATGCATTAGAATGATTATACATTAATTAAATTATCAATTATTCTTGCACGGGTTACCGCAGTTAAGGAACAGGTCATTAATAATGGGAGGCGGTGGGCGGTGCGTGAGAAAAGGGGGACGGCTTCAACTATTTTTTCCGAATTGGGGGCGGCTTTAAACTGAAAAATATGTGACATGGGGCGACCCCAAATTTTTAATACTTTCCAACTCATTTTCAAAATATTCCTATAGTTCCTATAATTGTAGTTTCAATAGTATATTACGTATATGCAGTTCACCATAGAAGTCGGAGTAAATAACAACCATTTCACAGCGGGCAGAAAAGCACAATTGTGTTATAAATAATTTGTGGTAATTCCAGCCATGTAATCTATTGTGTAACTAATTTTTTATAATAGTTTGTGTTAAATGGCAAAATCTGTAAAATAAAATAAAATAAATACCTTGTTATCAACCAATATCGCACACTCAGTATTACAACAATCCGCTGACAAAGTCATAAAAGGATCAAAATTAGCTGATTTTTATTTTTTCGATAATATCATGCCTTCTACTTCATGTAATTCAAACATCATTGCATTGCAACGACAATTTCCGAAGATCTTACGAAAGGATGCCGAGGGTGTAGCCCGTAAATAAAGAAGAAAGGGATGAAACGCCGAAAATCTTTCGTTCGATTTGCACCGCAACACATGGTGACGGAAGTTAACTCGACAATGTAAGCGGAAGTAGAGCGGAAGTTGAATGAAAATTGACCTTCCCTCTTCCATGACCTTTTAATCGAATTAACGGTTGATAATTTAAATAACAATAACAAATTTAAAAAATACTGCGAAATTGAAATTCAAATATGGAACGTTTTGTCACTAAAAGAAATGCGAATCACCCGTTTCAAAAAAAGCTTAATTTGTTGCAAAGCAACACACGCTCTTGAATCGATCAACCGTGAATATATTTACGACTTTGACCTTTGTCTATGACTGCAATCCAAACGGCAGTCTTTCCCAAGCCGGTCACGATTTAAACTCGTCTTCGGCGTGTGTGCAGACTTAAGATATATCAATATTCAATTTTAAATAAACTCTGAAACTGTTTCGTTATAATTCGGTTAATATATATATATATATATATATATATTTATATATATATATATATATATATATATATATATATATATATATATATATATATATATATATATATATATATATATATATATATATATATATATAGATATTGCTCTATGGCCTTTGTGTCATATTGAGCACTCTACAGGATGA